ATATAATTTATTGCAAATTCCACGGGGAAAGGGGGTTCAAAAACTATTTTTTTAAAGAAAAATATGATCCAAAACTGGAATTTCCAGAGGGATGGTGGGAGGAGGAGAGGGGGAGGGGTTCAAACCAAAAAAAACCCTTTGGCAGGGGTGCAGATATTTTCTGGAACATCTATATTGGAATAATGGCATACCTCTCCTGACACACCGCAGTCAACAATAGTTGCTCCGTAGTCTCTAACAGCCGCCTTCTTGACTAGTGGTGCATTTCTAGGCATGGCAATGGAAGCCTTCAGACCCATGATTTTTGCTGACAGTGCAATAGCTTGAGCATGGTTACCACTGCTGTGAGTGACAAGCACAGGTTTCTGATCAGCAGGCAGGGAGTTTAGCAATTGAAGAACGGCATTCATTGCTCCTCTGATCTGGAAAAGTACCATTTAATTTTAATTTAAAATTAATGTTAGTAGTTTCAATTATTATTAAGAGAATGCACCAGTATTATAGTTAATAGAGGTGCTCAAGCATATAATTTATAGAGGTTTCCAGATTACAGACTCTCCTAGCCAAGGGAATCAGTTTCCACCATTTTATGGAAATCACTCAGATTTTTTAGATTGACAGAATGATTTAGAAACCCAGGAAAGGGGACTTGAAAGAATTAAAATCCAGAACATATTCTGGGAGAGCATGACCCTGGAACCCTCTTAAAGCTTGTACCTTTTGCACTCAGCATTTAAGAAATTCATTACCATGTTGCCTGCTCTCTCCTAATGGTGGAGAAGATGGGAGAAGTCTGAATGGGTGATTACACTGCATGATGTCCATAAAGCCATGTATGTACGTTAAATTATTAGATGGTATATATTTATAGACTGAGGTTTCATACATACATTATAACCCCACCATTAATATGGCCTCATCATTGTTATGGCCACTTTATTCTGGTCTGCACAAAAGCTGGCAGTCAGTCATGTTCTTATTGATAGAACCCCTTTAATATACAGCCATGCGGTTAATATGGCCAAATTTTTGTGGCCCGTTGGTGACCAGATTAACGGGGTTCCACTGTACTATCATTAACCCAAACAGTGGTAGCAAAAGAGAGGCTAATTAACAGTTATAAATTATACTTCATGAATATGTTATTATACTGACCTTGAAGGCTCCGATTTTTTGGAATATTTCACACTTGAAATGAAGTGCTCTACCTGCCATGCTGTCTAAAGTTGAGGACGTCATAACAGGTGTTCTGTGTATGTGAGGCTCAATTCTTTTTGCAGCTTCTTGAACATCTTTAAGGCTTATTTCAACAGCAGTGTTGGAAGCCATATTTCTGAGAAGTTTCAAGCCATTAAGTTGTATATTATGCATGATCAAGCTAACTTGCCCCCTTTGCCCATCTCAGGCAGAGTTCTTTATAAGCTTTATATAATTCATCCAGAAAATCTGATGAAAATATATGTTTAAATTTTAGTGAACAACTAAGCTTTTTTCCATCTCAGTTTGAAGTCCTTTCATTCTTGCCACCTGCTGGAAGAGACAGATCACGGACCCAGAGAAAGTGATGGGGCATCCTTCCACAATTCACCAATTCACANTTAAATTATTAGATGGTATATATTTATAGACTGAGGTTTCATACATACATTATAACCCCCACCATTAATATGCCCTCATCATTGTTATGGCCACTTTATTCTGGTCTGCACAAAAGCTGGCAGTTAGTCATGTTCTTATTAATAGAACCCCTTTAATATACAGCCATGCCATTAATATGGCCAAATTTTTGTGGCCTGTTGGTGACTGGATTAACGGGGTTCTACTGTACTATCATTAACCCAAACAGTGGTAGCAAAAGGGAGGCTAATTAACAGTTACAAATTATACTTCATGAATATGTTATTATACTGACCTTGAAGGCTCCGATTTTTTGGAATATTTCACACTTGAAATGAAGTGCTCTACCTGCCATGCTGTCTAAAGTTGAGGACGTCATAACAGGTGTTCTGTGTATGTGAGGCTCAATTCTTTTTGCAGCTTCTTGAACATCTTTAAGGCTTATTTCAACAGCAGTGTTGGAAGCCATATTTCTGAGAAGTTTCAAGCCATTAAGTTGTATATTATGCATGATCAAGCTAACTTGCCCCCTTTGCCCATCTCAGGCAGAGTTCTTTATAAGCTTTATATAATTCATCCAGAAAATCTGATGAAAATATATGTTTAAATTTTAGTGAACAACTAAGCTTTTTTCCATCTCAGTTTGAAGTCCTTTCATTCTTGCCACCTGCTGGAAGAGACAGATCACGGACCCAGAGAAAGTGATGGGGCATCCTTCCACAATTCACCAATTCACATATAATGTGAAACTGATTCGGAGAAAATTGTTTGGGAAAGGGGTTAAAATTGTGACAGTTTGGGAGAAAAGTATCCTGGGGATTTATAATTTCATGAACAGAAAAGATTTGCTAGCACACCACCTTTATAGGTTCGATTTCCATCACTCTCTCGTGGGGAGGAACATGTGCTCCTTTCCCAAACAGCGGCTGGCAATTGAGCCTACGTACCCACCTTGTCAATAATCTAATGCTCTAATGGGATATTCCATATCTTATTCCCCCCCCCCCC